CTTTGTGATTCCCCACCCATATTTCTCTGTCTCAGCCCCTTGTGTTTTCCATGCCTCCACTCACTACAGTTTGTAACTGCTTAGTTGTGACCTATTTTTGGCATCTTCCCCAGGAGCTTGCAGCCTCCATGAGGTCAGGGGCCACGTTTGTCTTATTCTGTTGTATCCTCAGGACCAAGCACAAGGCAAAACACATAGAAGGCATTCAATACGTATTTTTGAACAAATAAAATGAGGCAAATTCTGGATGGATGGAAAAGATATTATTTTTGTCCTTTGAATCATTATCGTTGGAAGAGGTCATTCAGGAGCTATAGAAGGAGAGATGAAGGGCCATGTTCAATAACAACAACAATAATAATAAGAGCTAAGTCTTGCTGAGTACTTCCTGTGTGGCAGGTACTGCTCTGAGCTCTTGTTTACTGACTTTGCATTTGAACCCTGGGTGATAGGTATGCTCACTGTTGCTATTTTATGAGTGTGGAAACTAGGACATAGGGCAGTTGAGCAGCTTGGCCTGGTAACACAGAGATTTATTTGACCAAAGGAGTCTGGGCACAGAACTTGTACACTTGGCCTCTAAGACCTACCGCTGCTCAGTGCTTCTCAGTGCTTCACAGACTTCTATCACGGACTCACCCACATTGGCTTAAAAATGACTCTCAGTCCACAGCCAGGAGACATGTTGAGTGTAAGGTGGAAGATTCCATCAAACTCGACGACATGGCCAAAAATCCTTTCAGAGTGTATTGCTGGAGTTCTCAGCCTTAATTAAAGACGTATTTAAGGGCTGTGTTTGATTTTAGATATGCAGGAGATGACATCAATTAGCTTCAGCCTCAATTTGTGCCAACACTGAAGGGCAAAATGAGCTTTGGGGAATTACTGGTCCCTGGGTTTTAGCAATCATTCCGGGACGGTTGCCTCGAGTTTTCCCATAACATGAACATGTCAGTGAGAAGCCTGAGAAAGTGAAGACACCAAGTGGGGATACAGACACATAGAAGTCATGTACTGAGGGATAGCTGCCAGGCATGGGCAGGGAGTGGAGCTGCACCTTCCCTGTTGACATTTAGAGGGACCGAACATGCGGGAGTTACCATATTTGCCATTTTCTAATGAATAGAAAATGGGTAAAATGAATAAATCAGAATCTGTCATGACTTATCATGAACTATTTTGCGGCTCAAGAGAAAGATAAATTGCTTCTGTGAAATACATTCAGCTCTGAGGCTTATTTTATTGCACCTTGAAATCTCCTGTCTGCCACAATATTACTTCAAATGAAATTAGCAACAGATGGAGGACCTGAGCTGCGAGATGACAGGCAGAGTTGCCTACGCATGAAAAGAACTTGTAATTGGGATATTGGGAAGAATTTTTTTTTTTTTTTTTTTTTTTTTAAGAAACAACACTCCAGAAGACAAGGGCCTCAACTAGTAGGAAAAGGTAGAGGGGTGGTCTGGGGGAGCAGCTAGACTGCAGGCTTTCATGGGAGCTAATTCCAGTCATGGGGCCAAAGGAAGATGCCCTTTCTTCCTCTGCACATTAGAGGACTACTGATAACATTTACTACGGGCCAAGGCATATATCCTAGGGTAGTGCTAAGTCCATGGTCAAGTGCCACTGCTTGTTAGCTGTTACAGTAGACATTTATATCCCTCCCTTCATCAGCCCCAGTTCATGATAATTTGCTCTGGAAATGCTGGCATTGATTGTGTAGTAGAAAAACAAAATCCCCTCAAAATCCAAGACTTGAATCCCCAACCCTATCTGATGTTTGGTTAGTGGTGTGAACCAGGTGTTTACTCTCTGACCTCAGTTTCCTCCTCAGGAAAATGAGGAAGCAGAAGGGTTATTGTTAGGCTCCAGTGGGATTACTAATGGGAAAATATAAAATATAAAGGCATATGCAAGTTGTAAAGTGATACAGAACACTGGATTCTGAAATGAAGGCTTGTCCACAGAGAGAGAATATTCTGAGGGGTGAGATACTTTGGACCTCATGCTTCAGCATGTTCATGATTGGACTACATAATATTTATAACAGTACCTGAAATTTCTGATGAGTGAATTAGACAAGTGCTTCCTTGATTACTTATTATAATACCCGTGGGGTTTACAAAGCCACAGGTCCTGGAGTCCTGGGACCACATATCTGTATTTTTTAAAGCACGCCAGGCATTGGCCAATGTGCAGCCAGGGATTGGAAAATACCTCATTGGATTCAAGAGATGTGTAACCTATCAAAGAGCACTGGACTTTAAATCATATACAGTGGATTTTGCTCAAGTTCTGTCGTTATCTTGGCAAATAAATCTGAAAAATTCTTTTTTTTTTAAATGTTTTTTTATTTGTTTTTAGGAGAGAGAGAGAGGCGGCATGAGCAGGGGAGGGTCAGAGAGAGAGGGAGTCACAGACTGAAACAGGCTCCAGGCTCTGAGCTGGCAGTCAGCACAGAGCCCGACGCGGGGCTCGAACCCACGAACCGCGAGATCATGACCTAAGCGAAAGTCGGACGCTTAACCGACTAAGCCACCCAGGCGCCCCGAAAAATTCTTTTTTAAAAGATTGGAAACCACTGGAGTCTGCAAAAGCCCCTTCCATTTCCCACAGTCTCTGGTGGTTTAATGCTGAAACAACTGGTTGTTCTATTCAATTCAAACAACCTGGTAGTTGTATCATAGAGGAAACTTGAAATTCGCTCTAGTGTCCATAAGCCTGAGAGCTGTGGGTTACTATGCTGAAGTCCATTTTGCTATAAACCAGCTGGCCAATTTAGTCTCAAAATGGTCTATGTTGGCCTGAATAATCTTTTGTCATTGGGTTAGTATATGGTACATGACAGAAGCTCAATAAATATTGGTTATTCAACTAAATAAGCATAGTCGCCACCTGTCCCAAAGTCATCCAAGGCGGCTTTGATATTATTCCTTGTATGTAGTGTTATATATATTCATGTATATAATATGCTTATTATATAGCAAATGCAATGTAACTTATTTGATCTTATAATAAGACAAAATCTCTGATGCAGAGACAGTGAGATTCAGGCTCCTGGAGGTATTTAAGCAGAGGTGGTTGATGAGGGTGGGGGGTTCAACCTCAGATGATCTCTAAAATCTCCTTCAACTCATAACTTTTAGGATGTGAAGGTGTGTAGAGTGCCTTTGAGACTTCCATTCTGTTCTTGATGGTTGAGCAACAGAACAAGGGTAGATGAAATGCCACTGGTTCTAGTACTGTAGATTTTCCTTTTAGATCGAGAGTGCCAGGGTTATTGTTTTGAAAGATTCTAGATAGTTCTTTGCACTTGGGAAAGCCTGATGCGTTTGTGCACCATTTCAAATTCCAGACCTTACAATGAAATGGGGCAATCAATTAAAATGAAAACAAAAGCTCAATCTTCCTAGAGTGTCGGAGGTAGATAAAACTTCTCAAACCCTCATCTGCTTATGTGCAAAGCTCGCACATGCATTCCTATGGTGCCCAGCTGAATATTTATAAAATCGTATTCTGAAATAAAGATGGTATGAACAGAAGCAAATGATACTGTAACTTTTATAGGGCTGGCCATAGGCCAAAGATGCAAATTGATGGCCTGTGGTGATTCAGAGAGCAGATGTATTTTGTGGAGCCCACGCTGTGTTTTTAAAAAAAATCTCGAGTGAGTTACCAACATTTAAAAATCAGAAGTTTTTACGTATATAAAAATGTACTTCTGCTTCTCCTGATAATCCAGAAAAATCTGTCTAGACTGGGCCCACATGCCCTCATGGCAACACAAAACAAGGTCTGAGAAGTAGCTGGCACCTGTTGATAAGGCGGATACTTCCAGCGTACCCTCCCCTTGGCCCTTTCTCCCGTTTCTGTTATCGGCAAGTCTCCTTGCAGAGACATTTGGTTTGATTCCTCCTTCTGCAGACAAGGCTGTGATTTCAGAGGAGTGTGTCTTGGTACCTAACACGCCAGCATCCTCTTTGCCACTTGACAAACATCTTGAGCACAGGGAATAAGAATCTTGTAAAGATTGTGCTCCCGGGCACCATTCTGCCACACAGGAGAACTCATGCCACACAGTAGAACTCATGAAAATAGACTTCCTTCCCTTTCCCACTCCACACCTCATGGCCTTTCCTTATTTCTACCTTCTATTTGCCGGATCTGAACACCTTATTTTTCCCCCAGACTGTTAATAACTGTTCTGGGGCAACGCGTGTAAATCGAAACTATTGTGGATCCCTAAGTTTCCTAGGACCGATGTAAGAAATAACTGCAAGCTGGATGGCTGAAAATTGCTTTCTCACAGTTCTGGCAGCCAGAGGTCAGAAATCCAGGTGTCAGCAATATTGGCTCCTTCTGAAGGTTCTGAGGGAGAGTTTACTCCATGCCTTTCTCTTAGCTGCGATGGTTGCTGCAACCCTTGGCATACTTTGGCTTGGAGATACCACATTCCAGTCTCTGCCTCCATCATCACCTGGTATTCTTCCTGTGTACCTGTGTCTGATAAGAACACTGGTCATATTGGATTAAGGCCTCACTCTAACAACCTCAACTTGATTGCAACTGCAAAAACTCTATTTCCAAATAGAGTCACATTCACAGGTGTAGAGGGTTGGGACTTCAACATACCTTCTTGGGTGACACAGCTCAACCCATTAGCCTTGAACTAGTTTTTTGACCTGTAAAATGGAGTAATAATAGCATCTGTTAGACATGGTTCTTGTGAGGACTAATTAACCTTCTCCAGGTCTTCACACAGTGCTTGCAGCAAAGGCAGGGTCAGCCTTTTACCTCACTTGCTATATCTTTTCCCTCCTCTACTTCTTCCACTTCGGTACCCTGGTCCTTGGCTTCTTTGTCGTTTCTGTTTGTTCAGTATAAAAGTATCAAACAAATAAACAAAATCAGTATATTGCTTAATTTCATCCTTTCTATCATTAATTTAGTAGGTAATATTGAAGTAAATTCTTTTAAATGAATGTGTTTATTTTTTGCAGTGTTTCCAGGAAAGGTTCAAACTCAGGTGTCATGTAGAAGACTACTTTGTGCTCACCAGTAGAGTATCTCCAGGTCTCTTGCTGTAAGTGCAGCTTCTTCTGAAGAAGAAAGCCATGGAGAAGCCAGTTCCTCCCAAACACCATCCAGTGAATGGGATGAGACCCAACTCGTCTTCACTGTCAGACAAGAAATGGATAAGAGAACCAGAGGAGCACCTAATGTGGCCTGGAGTGTCCACTTTTGGAAAAGTCCATGACAAAAAAGCCTATTAGACCCTACTCAGTCACCCCTGTGTATCTAGAGGCTGCAGGAACACACACCAGTAGGCACATGAGGCTTCAGAACCAGCCCTCCCGCAATTCCAGGGGAGTGATTTTGCCCCACTTGGTAAGGGACACTTTGTGGTTCTTAATTCCTTTCTTCTTTATTCAATTGGTCAACATTTTGTTTTTAACTTCATATAAACAGCAAAGTTACTGACTAATGGCAGGTCCTATTCTAGAAGGTTATATAAGAACTGTTATCAGTCAGTCTTGAATACTCTTCTTGTTGTGAGTATTGTACTGGAAGAGAGAACAAGTGTGATTTGATGACAGGTAATTTGACTCAGGTAATGCACCTAATAATGATAATGATCATGACAATGACAATTATTAGTATCATGATTGCTCCAGCCCCCATTTAACAAGCTCTCACCATGTGCCATATACTATGCTGATCATTTCACAGTATTTTATGAAACCCTCATATAACACCTGTAGGCAGGTAATGTTATTATCCCCATTTTACAGATAATGAAACTGTGAATTCGTAGCACAGGATAATGTATATGATGATCAAGTATCTCAAAATTGCTCCTAGAAGGAATGATTAAAAGTGAGGAAACAGACCAGAAGGAATGAGCTTTGAAACCTTGGAGACATGTGCTCCAATCTCTGCTTTCTCCTGTCTCAGTTCTGCAGCCACGATCAAGTCCTATAAATGTTCTTTGAGCCCAGTATTTTCATCTGCAAACTAATGACAACTACTTTCTTGAAGAGATGTAGTTAGAAGATTGATCTAAATGAAGTTCACTGAACACAGCAGGGGCTGGATGGCAGCAGTGATGGTGGTGGTGGTGTTTATGGTGCTGTTGTTCAGACAGGAGGTGAGAAAAATGTGAGGAAACAATGTGTATTCTAGACACTCTATAACCGTTATGTAGAAGGATTATAATAATTTTACATAACTTTTTTTGAAAACCTTTTTGGTGGATTTTGCTTCAAATGTTTATAATTTGTTGGAATTGACAAATGGAGGAAAGAAACGGATTTTGACTCAGCACAAAGGAGAACTTTCTTTGAACTAGAAGAGAATATGCTGCTTGGGCTCAAAGTGGTAAAGGAGGAACTGTAGACCATCTACCAAAGATGCTGATTCAGAGAGTCCTTCATCTCTAGGAAGTTGGGCTTGAGCATGGGATGCTGACAATGCCAGTTGGTTAACATATTATATGTAAGGCAATCTGTTAAAATCTGAACATACGTCTTCAATTTTGATCCATATGGCCAGCCTCTGAGATAGGAACTGCTATTTTCCCGTGCTTTAGATGCAGAATCTGAGGCCCAGGGAGATTCTGTGACTTTAGGGTTGGAGCCAGGGCTCAAGCCCTCCATTTTGACTCCAGGTCAGAGCATACCTGTATTGATTGTAAATATAACAATAATAACTCTTGGGGATTGAGCACTCACTACATCCTAGATGCTTTAATTTTAGCACTTTCTTCTCTTGGATACTTAATTAGTTTGCTTTTTCACTTCTTTCAAGTGTTTATTGAAACTCTTACCTACATGTGACATTTCCTAACCATTTTTCCCACGTTATTTTTCTACTTTGGCTTTATTACCAGCTGACACTTACACGTTTCTTCATTTGCTTATTAAATAGTCCACTTCCCCATATTCACCCCCTCTCGGCACAGCTAGGATGGAAGCTCTGTAAGTGCAGGGATGTTGCCTGCTTTATTCTTTTCTGTATCTCTAATGTTTAAAATACTGGCAGGCATATAACAGACAAATATTAGTGAACGAATAAATGAAAGAACAAACTTAATCCTATTAGTGACCTTGTGAAGTAGGTAATACAATCCTTACGGTTCAGGTAAGGACAAAGAGGCTTAGGCCAAGTGATGTGCCAGGATTTGAATCTATGCTGGTCTGACACCAAAGCCTTGTTTCTTCTATTACACCACACTTCTGTGTAAGACAGTTTGTTACAAAATGCGTCATTACCGAATTGCATTCAGGGAAGGAATTCTTATTCTTTGCTTATGACAGAGCCTTGATGTGCCTTGACCTGTCTAGGTTATATTCTACTGCTTGAAATTCCAGAGCCAGGTCCATGCTCTTCTATGAAATTCTCTTGCACTAATTATGGAAGGCAATGAATTAGTCATCTGTCATGTCTGCAAATCCAAATCCACAAATAGTTAGTATCTAGTTTTCAGAAAGGAGTGTGTTTTGGGCTTTCTAAAAGCTTTTACTTGCCTGACGTTATTGAAATGCCATTCCACCTTTACTTCCAGGAAAGAATTCTCACACCGAAAAATCCCATTCACTAGAAGTTTTCCAGTGTTTGGCTTGGGTATGTTGAGTGCATCATGGGAGGTGGTGCCCAATACATACCGGGCACGCCATTCCACCTTTACTTCCAGGAAAGAATTCTCACACCGAAAAATCCCATTCACTAGAAGTTTTCCAGTGTTTGGCTTGGGTATGTTGAGTGCATCATGGGAGGTGGTGCCCAATACATACCGGGCACCGTATGTGATGAACGGATTGCATTGCCTAGAGACGGACTGACTGTTTGAAAGCCCTTAAAAAAGTTGTGGGAAGTGACTTAAAACACATAAATTATCTTAACTTACTACTGAAGGATTAGAGTATTAGGGTCAATGGGCATAATTTCTCAGGGAAAAACTATACATAGGAAAAAATATATATACATAGAAATCAGAGGGAGTCTTTTTCAGTATTGGCTGTATTGTAAATATATCTCATCTTTTACATAAAAAGCATGTGGTTGGGCAAATTAAAAAATCACCGAATCTTTTCTTAGTATTAGTGTGTATGTAGGTGTTGCATAGACCTGGATCAGATGAATTCCTTGATTGCTTTAATTTTCAGCTGGTTTGAAAGTTCTTTCTTAAATTTTTTTTAACGTTTTTGTTTATTTTTGAGAGACAGAGAGAGACAGAGAATGAGCAGGGGAGGGGCGGAGAGAGAGGAAAACACAGAATCTGAAGCAGGCTCCAGGCTCTGAGCTGTCAGCACAGAGCCCTACAGCAGGCTCCAGGCGGGGCTCAAACTCAAGAACCCTGAGATCATGACCTGAACCAAAGACAGACTCCTAACCAACAAAGCCACCGTGCGCCCCTGGAGAGGGTGCTTTTAAACAGCAGGAAAGGAACAGATCGCATTTTGTTTTCTTAAGCAATGTGGGGAACCATGTAAGGGTAATGCCAGGGCTAGCTCCCTGTCTCTCTCTTGCTCTGGCACTAACTCTCAGCACACTGAGAATGTTGATTTCTCAAGCATCCAGTCTTCAGCAGAGATCTTCTGCACGTCCCTGCGGGGCGGGTGAGTTCCACACATTTCAGTGCCACTCCTGTCTGTCTGTCTTCCAGGTGTCACTGCGAGACCTTACAGCGCCATCGGCCTCTGCAGGAGAAGCCAGACTCCCTCGGCCAGGTCGGGGGTCTCCCAGAGTCCCTCAGAGCCCAAGCTGGAGGACAGGGTGGCAGCCACAGTAGTCGCTCTGGCGCACCCACCTCTGCAAAGCCAGCCCTGGGGCGCGCCCGGAAGTCCAGTGGGCCGAGGCGCGGTTGCCATGACACAGGAGATGCTCCCCAAGCATCCTTATCCTCCCGGGAAAAGAGAACCCAAGGCGGACGCCTCGCCCACGGCAATCTGGCAGGAGCGCCCTTCCTCTGCTCGCCAATGCTCCCACCCATCTCCCCTCAAAGAGGTTAATCAAGGTTTGCTCCTCTCCCCCGCCCGCCCACCCCAGCGTTTCCATACGGTTTGTTCACAGGCCCCTCCTAGGCGGGGGGGGGGGGGGGGGGGGGGGGGGGGGGGTGAATGCTCACTTACATTGACCGCTGCGAGGGAATTGTCCGCGAGTGCTGCCCATCTTCAAATCAATGCCTGCCCAGAACAACAGAAAGGGCCTCAGATGTACTGGTTTCCACAGAACCATTGTTAGGCTTTTGTGAGACCGTTTTGAACCTAATAAATAATGTCAAAAGTCTCTATCGCAGCCAAAAATGTTCCTTTTGAAGCATTTCTAATAGTATTTTTGTTCTGCGGTGTCTCCCAGTGTCACAAAGAATTTGTGCCTCACAATGGGGATGGGGTACACCGCGTGCCACTTCGCAACGTGCCTGCAGGGATTGCCAGGACCCGTCTTTGTTTGGCTCTTGCAGGTAAACGGTTTCACTTGCCAACGTGAGCTTTGGTTTAGGGATGTTTTCTAAGGGCCCTTTGAATTTCTAAACAGAGGTTTGGAAAACATAATTGAATGCCTGTAATTTAATAGTTAACATGAAATTTGATTACTCCTGCTGTGCCTAGGGGAATTCTTCGGACCATATGAAGGTTTTTATGTCAGAAACCTGAAGCTAGAACCTCCCTTGAGGTCCTGAAATACTTGGAACTAAGTTTAATGCAAAAGAGATACTGAGTTTTCTTATTTCTAATAAAAAACACTGGAGAACCTTAGCTAACATTCTATCAAATTGGTCGTTTTAGGCACTACTTTTTACTTCAGTGAACTTAGGTTGAACACAGCATCTTTTCACCATGATTTAATGCAGAGACTGACTTTATCAAATGATTTTATTTTGTGTTTTTAAATGTAGTGTTCTTTCTTTCAGCATTGAAAGAGAAACGCAGATCAATGAGACCAATACATCCATATGGAGATTTGCACTCAAATTCCTTTTTCCCCTCAGGCTTGTATTCAGGGAGTCTGATAAATGGAGTTCATAAATCCTATTGCATTTCCCCCTTCAGTTCAAATTAATATGTAGAGTATGCCTGTATTCAAGACTTATCAAGTCTAAAGTCCAAATTTACGTCTCAAATTTTAATAAGAATGAAATATAATAACCAGTAACTGCTTAACATTTAGAAGTCTGTTTAGTCCTTTGAGGATGATTTGATTTCCTAGCATTTGCTAAGGGTAATGGACTTTAAAGAAAAAAAGATCCCCAAACTTTAGAGCTTACCTTCTTCCAGACTATGGTTTCATAAGAAATGCATTTTGATTTTTATTATTTATTTATTAACATGATTTTATTGTGAGAGAGCATACAGGTTATCAGTGGTGGTCGCTATTGTCTCCTGAGGGGATAGTGGCATCTGCTTACCAGAGTTCACATGACAATGATAAGTTCACCTTCATGCCATTTGGTTAGAGAGAAATGTGTGGGTAAACTTCTGGGTTTATGTAAAATTGTGATTCTGGGATATTTTAATTTGCTATCTAATGAGTTAGTACGACTTTTTCAGATCAAGAAACTATTGCTTCAAGAGATTATAAAACAGTGAGCCAAAAACATTTTTTAAAGTTTATTTACTTATTTCAAGAGAGAAAGAGAGACAGAATGGGGGAAGGGCAGAGAGAGAGGGAGATAGAGATAATCCCAAGCAGGCTCCACACTATCAGTGCAGAGCCCAACTGGGGGCTCGAACTCACAAACTGTGAGATCATGACCTGAGCGGAAACCAAGAGTTGATTGCTTTACCATTTACATGTATAATGGTTAATTGTAGGAGTAAAGAATGTGATGTGGTAAATAGATTCTCTCATTTGTGGAAGTGCAAAATAGTGAATCCACTAAACATACAGTACAGAAGAAGCATTTCTATTCATCATTGAGAAAAGGGATACAAGCAAAAGATGTGAAATGTATGGTATACCATATGTTAAAGAGGTTTCTTAAAGTGTGTCCCATGGAACACTGGAATTACAGAGATGCTGTGTGAGATGGAGAGGCTACAGAAAACTATGTGTGAGGGATGTGGTCCAGTATGCTCCCTCGTGGAGAAGAGAATCACAGCAACATATTAAGCATCCCCAGAAACTAACATAACAAAAAATGATATAACTCTGTTTAGCCTAGCGTTTTTTTTATTTTATTTGGTCAGCAAATCCTGATTTATGTGTGTGCGTGTGTGTGTGTGTGTACACGTATAAGTATTATTTTTAAATAGCACCTCTCACTATCTTGCAGCACTAGTGTCCTATGGAACACACATGTGAGAAAACTTAAACTCTATTCTAAATATACCAAAATTCATATAAACTGGTAAGGTTCAAATCAAGGATTTATTTTCAAGGTTGTGAAGAACGAAGCAGAGTGAAAGAAAGAAACTCTTGGGGTGCCTGGGTGGCTCGGTCAGTTAAGCATCCGACTTCGGCTCAGGTCATGATTTCACAGCTGGTGAGTTTGAGCCCCACATCAGGCTCTGTGCTGACAAGCTCAGTGCCTGGAGCCTGCTTCAGATTTTGTCTGTCTTTCTTTCTCTCTGTCTCTCTCTCTCTGTCCCTCCCTTGCTCGTGCTCTGTCTCTCAAAAATAAATGTACGTTAAAAAAAAAAAAAAGAAAGCAGCCCTTAATAAATACCCCCAGGAACATATTCTTCCTTGGAGGAATGTAACGAGCTATTTCTGTTTTTTATTTATTTGTTTTTCTCATTTTCATTTTGGATGTACGTGGTTGGGAGAAGTTTGGTCAGTCCACCCATGACCATGCTTTCATAGCAATGGATGAGGAGCATTTTCAATTTGACTGTGACAGTCATGGGCTATGGCTGTTCCAGTTCTTCTGAATGACAACTACTTTTCTGTTAGAATGTAGACACAAATGCACCCATGTAAATGAAGTTAAATCTTTCTCAATGCCATTATTTCTGAAAACAATGCTGAATTAAACAGCCATAATTGAGGGTGAATCAATTTTAGGATACAAATAATATGTATTTATTTATAGTACTGTCACTGAGGAATAGAATAAGGTCCTTTAGTTTACAATACTTGTTACTAAGGTTCTAAATTACAACTTGCTTATATTTCTTCAGCAGTATGTGATTCAACTTATGGGACATTTTACCACATACTGTAAGTGTCTTCTAAGGAAAATGAGATTCTACTTTAGCAAAAAAAAAAAAAATTTTTTTTCCTGAAAGTTGCATGAGAAAATAGATATTGATGGGGTGCCTGGGTAGCTCAGTTGGTTGAGTGTTCAACTCTTGGTTTCGGCTCAGGTCGTGAGCTCAACAGTTCGTGAGTTTGAGCCCTACGTTGGGCTCCATGCTGGCAGTGTGGAATCTGCTTGGGATTTTCTCTCTCTCCCTCTCCCTCTGCCCTTCCCTGCTTGCTCTCACTTTCTCTTTAAAATAAATAAATAGGGGCGCCGGGGTGGCTTAGTCGGTTAAGCGTCCGACTTTCGCTTAGGTCATGATCTCTCGGTTCGTGGGTTTGAGCCCCGCGTCGGGCTCTGTGCTGACTGCCAGCTCAGAGCCTGGAGCCTGCTTCAGATTCTGTGTCTCCCTCTCTCTCTGACCCTCTCCTGCTCACGCTGTCTCTCTCTCTCCTAGATATAAAAAAAACCAAAACATTAAAAAAAAACCTTAAAAAAATAAAATAAATAAATAAACTTAAAAAAAGAAAATAGATATTGATAAATTTTTTAAATTGGCACATTGAAGAAACTAAATATGTAACACACCCTTTAGTGCATAATGTTCACAAGTGAGGAATCCTTTAATAATATATAAAGTAAATCATTATAAAGGCAGATAACATTTATTGAGTGTGTATTATGTATTAGGGACTCTTCTAAGTGTTTAGCATATATTAATTCATCTAGTCATAGTGGCTTTATGAAGTACTCATTATTATTATTATATCTGATTCATAGATGGAGGAAACTTTATTTTTAGCAATTGTAAGATACATATATATGTATGTGAATGCATATAGACACATATGCACACACACATACATAAGCTTTATAGGGTACTCTGGCTAAAATAAATTTTTAAAAATAAAAATAAATAAATAAAAACTATATTATTATATTATGCAATTTTATTTCATGTATAAAGCTACATTATCGTATAGCATATTATTAAAGCTGACATGTATGTACATATGTGTGTATTCTGCTTACAACAGAGACCGTCTATAAATCCATAAATATACCATGCTGTGGGTGTCTAAGTGAGGTAAGCATAGAAATTTTATTCATATCCCTTTCCTCCTGAGAACAAGGTACAGAGTGGGAGTTGGTAACTATGGGTTGACGACATATAGATTTCAACACTTTGAAGGGTAAAATGGGGTCTGAGACTATTATCACACAGTTCTTTTTGTTTGAAACATTATCTCTGTGAATGAAGGCTCAGAAAATAAGGGAAGAGAAGGTGGTTTTGAAGTTCATTAAAGATGGCAGCACTTTTTCAAGGTTACTAGAGCTGGCATCAGATTTGTGGAAGAGATGGGGTGTTGCAGAGCGGGGAGCCAAGGAAAAGCTAAGGTGCTGAGATCCCTCTGGGTCTGGAGAACCAAGAATTCAATGTGAATATGTGAATCTGAACTCAATGTCACACCATCATTTGGCAGGACTTTCTTCACTGTGAATTTGGGATGACTTGTTTTGTTTACAGCAAAGGTGATTTGGGAATTAAGTTTTCTGTCAACTCAAAGCATTTTGAAATGTAACAGCATTATGCAAATTCAAGTTATTCTTTTATGACCAATATCAACAATAACTGGCACAAACTATCATTGGTTATGTATGGTTGATTTTTTTTTAATGTTTATTTATTTTTGAGAGAAAGTGAGAGACAGAGTGTGAGTGGAGGAGGGGTAAAGAGAGAGGGAGACGCAGAATCTAAAGCAGGCTCCAGGCTCTGAGTAGTCAGCTCAGAGCCTGATGTGGGACTCGAACTCACTAACCATGAGATCATGCCCCGAGCCAAAGTCAGATGCCCAACGGACTGAGCCACCCAGGTGCCTCTAGGCAGGGCTAATTTAAGGACTTCTCATCCAATGGTTGCTCACAATGCCAGTGAGTACTATTTCTGGTGACCATTTCATGGTGTCCCTCTCTGAGAAACTTTTATGTGCTATATTCTTGACCTTCATCACAGCACTTGGGGGTAAGTCATAGTATCCCATTTATTGGTAAGGAAACTGAAACAGAGAAACCAAGCAATATGCCGCAATGACGATTACCTCCAAGACCCCTGCTTACAGACATTTGTATTTAAAAAAATGTAT